AGATTATGAGCCTTGGGCCAAAAATGCTCAGGGATAGTGCCTACGCCTTGAGTTCAAGTCCCAGGACCAGCACCAAAAAAACAAACAAAAAATACATACATACACATAACGCATAATATTTTCACTCATGTGGAAGCTATAAAAACATACACATTAATGGATATGTGTTTGTATGTATGGATAAGCACAAAACAGTCTAAGGGACTACTTAGAAGGAGAAGGGAAAAGGGGGAAAGATAGAGAAGTATATAGGGGAAAAAAGCATAAAGAATTTTAGTGAAAGCTGTTGGTTAACAGGGGAAATAAAGAGTAGGGTATAGAGAAACAGTTCTGTTAAGAAGTGGGTACTTGTAGCGGGGTACCAGGGGCTCACCCGTTAAGCCTACTCAGGAGACTAAGATATGAAGATGGGGGTTCAAAGCCAGCCCAGGCATGAAAGTCCATGAGACTTTTATCTGCAATATACTACTCAGAAAAAGCCAGAAATGTTGCTATGGCTGAAGTGGTAGAGCATAGTCTTGAACACAAAGAGGCTCAGAAACAGCACCTAAGCCCAGAGTTCAAGCCCCTGGATTGGCTAAAAAAAAAAAAAAGAATAAAGAAGTGAGTACTTGTGAGGAGGAAGAGGAGGAGGAGAGCTAATAATGTTGAAAGAGAATGCACACAGTTCAAATACACTGTGGCATGTATGATAATAAAACAATGAAACCGGGCTGGGAAGTTGGCTCAATGGTAGAGTGCTTGCCTTGCATGCCTGAGGCCCTGGGTTCGATTCCTCAGCACCACATAAGCAAAAAAGAAAAAAGCCAGAAGTGGCGCTGTGGCTCAAGTGGTAGGGTGCTAGCCTTGAGCTGAAGAGCTGAGGGACGGCCCCCAGGACCGACAAAAAAATTAAAATTGAAATTAAAAAAAAATGAAGTCTGCTGAAATTGTTTTAGTAAGAGGGAAAGGAGCTAGGGAGTAGGACAGAGAAAGGGAGATTGATTGGAATATATTTTATACACGTGTAGAAATGTCACAATGAAATTCCTCTTTATAGCTAATAAAAATAGTAAAAAAAATTAATAAAACCAAAACATGGTTCATTTAGAAAATCAGTGATAAGCTTCTAATTAGATTGACCAGGGTAAGAAAGACATGAATGAGAGGAATGGAATCACCCAGGTTTCTACCTCTAAGGAGGTAGCCCAGTAGAGTCATTGCCTGGCATTTGTTAAGTACTGAGTTCAAGCCTCAGCACCTTCTCCCTCACAAAAAAAGGAGTGTTTCTTTCTAAGAAATCTATCAAAAAGATTTATCACTTCTGTACTTGTATTCTGTGCCATCGTGGAGATTATATACAGTTTAATAAGGCCAGGCAAAAGGCAGGTTAAGAGCTGGGTGGAAGCATTCCAGATAGGGGGAAAAAGTTGAACTGACTTTATTTGAAGACAACTTGATTCTCTATGCTAGGAGGGAAAAAAAGTTGGCAAGTCACATATTTGCTGTTTTAAAAAACCAACAAAACTTGTATTTAAGAGCAAGATCTGGGTTTGATTCACAGCATCACCAAAAGAAAAAACAAAAAACAAAACACCTGGATGGGAAGAGGAAACAAAGGAGGAGGCTACAATGCTTGATAAGAAATGTACTCATTATCTTGCCCATGTAATTGTAACCCCTCTGTACAGTATTTTCACAATGAAAATAAAAAATTTTAAAAAATTTTTAAAAAACCACCTGAATCTAGAGTACATAAAGAACTTTCCAAACTGATTAAGAAAGCAAACTCAATTTAAACAAAAATGATTTGAACAGAAATTTTGTAGGAAAGGATATTCAGCATTGTTAAGACAGTAAGAAAATACTAATTACAGTTGCTGAAATTAAGAAAACCCTCGCTATACAGAATGATGTAGTATAATAGTGGAAGTGCACATATGGAAGGTGTGTGTGTGTCACCAGAACTGAGGCTTAAACTTAGGTCCTGGGTGCTATCTTTAGCTTTTTCCATTGAAGGTTAGCTAACACTCTATCGTTGGAGATGCAACTCCACTTCCAGCTTTTGGTGGTTAACTGGAGATAAAAGTCTCATGGACTTTTCTGCCCAGGCTGGCTTTGAACAGCAATCCTCAAACCTTAGCTTCCTGAGCAGCTAGGATTACAAGTGTGAGCCACTGACTCCTGGCTGCAACAATTTTTTAAATTTTTTTGGTGGTGCTGGAAATTGTAATCAGGGCCTCAAAACATTCTACCACTTGAATCATGCCTACAATTCCAATTTGGCAGTGTTTTCTTCTTTTAAAGATTTTTATTAGCATGTATTAGTTGCACAAGTTTTCATTGTGACATTCTATAACAACTTTAACAGCACCTAACATACTAAAAGATGCCAGTAACACTTCTCCCCTGTTGTGAAAAATAATCTCCAGGGCGGGAGTATAGATTAGGTGGTAGGGCACTTGACTAACAAGAGGCCCTGGGTTTAATCCCCAGTAGGGCCAAAAGAGAAAAAAAAAAATGTCTACAGACATATCAATTATCTCCTGTTGGGTAAAATATCCCTGTCTAGGAACTACTGTTCTGAAACTACTCAAATGTAGTCTCTATGTACCGACTACCTCTACTCACAGGGCAACTAGTCAGAAAGCAGAATAGCTAACATTTTAACATTTTTAAGAATATTACAAATACGTGTTATATAGTTATATGGTTTTTGAACTCCATACATTACTGAGAGCAAAAGGATATTACAAATATGTGTTATATAATTTTTTTAGCTCCATACATTACTGAAGAATAAACGGGGCTAGTTTCCTTTTAAAGCTATTTTCAAACTAAGGAAGCAAAGTCCTATAAAATATCTGACGTATGACCTCTTAATACAGTCCATGTCTCTCAGATGAAAAAAACTTTATGCCAAAGAACTATATATAAATTATTTCTTAATTGTGGCAGTTAATTTAGGAAATCTCAATGCTTCGTGGAACTCAACTTTATAACTGCATTTACATACCCTATTGCATCTCCCAAGTAAGTGTCAAATTCCACTGTGTCCAATTTCAAATTGCCATTATCAATGACAGATACATTCGAACACTAACTTTCTGTGTCCCACTCTCTTTTTTTTTTTTTTTGATCTGGTGGTGGGTTCTGAACTTTAAGCCTGGGCACTGTCCCTAGCTCTTCAGCTCAAAGCTAACCACTTGAGCCACAGCGCCATTTCCAGCTTTTATCTGCTTCTGTGATGCTGAGGAATCGAACCCAGGGCATCATGCATGCGAGGCAAGTGCTCTACCACTGAGCCACCCCTTCCCAGACCACTGTGTCCCACTCCACCAAATCTTATCTTCCAAATTCAACTTTAAAGGAGAAAAAAATAACAACATCATAATCTCTATTTTTAACTGGACTTTTTTTGGATTGCTAGTCCAGCTTCAATTGCTTTCTTACTATACCACAGGAATAAATACAAGTTACTTGCAATACAGATCACTATCATAAGTGAAGGAAGAGGTAAAAAAAAAAAATCTAGGCTCCTTTTGACTCAGACTCCTAGTAACTAGAGGACTACTTCACCTTCCCAGCCTTCAACTTTCTCATTCGAAAAAATTAAATTTAAATAAATTGGAGACTATATATATATATACTTTTACAGTTATTTTAAAGACTAATTATGAAAATTTCTGTGAAACACTATGTAAACAGTGAGGCACCAGACAAATATTGGGTACTATAGGTCAAATGAGTAACAATACAGCAAAAAAAAAAATGCGCTCAGGATATAAAGAACTTACATTACTTCACACAACACTTACGCATTAGAAACACAGCTTGAGATGATAAATTCTGAATTCGGATCAGGCTCTAAACTCAGTTATGACATTAACACTATATAACAACACAGCTGGACTTAATTTTCCTTTTCGCCTCAAATTTCTACCCCAGAAAAAAAGCCAAACTGGGCGCCGGTGGCTCACACCTGTAATCCTAGTTACTCAGGAGGCTGAGATCTAAGGATCGAGATTCAAAGCCAGCCAGTGCAGAAAAGCCCGTGAGACTCTTAATTTGCAATCAACCACCAGAAAACCCCAAGTGGAGCTGTGGCTCAAAGTAGTGAAGTCTAGAAAAGCTCAGGGACAGCACCCAAGCTGTGAGTTCAAGCCCCACGACTGACAAAAAGTAAAAAAAAAAAAAAGTCAATTACTGAAGCTAAGTTTCCAGAAGTATTACTTTATCACTTATCAGCCCAAGATTTGGAGTCCCAAAGTTGCATGTAACGTTATATTCTAAATCAGAGGTTTATCAGGAAACAGGTTGGGCAGCAAATGGTAGGGGAAAATTGTAATTAAGAGAGAATTCTATACCATTCCGGAAAAAGCAAAGGTAACAGTACCTTTGCTTTCAATAATTAATTATAGTTTCTTTCTAAATGCCAGTAATGAAATGCTAGGTCATTAACACAAGGGCGGGGCTCGGGTCCCCACCAGTTTTGGGGAACCACCCACTTCCCAAAGAGGTGCGACTGCTTCCTCCAGGCCTGCCAAGAAACTTGAAAGATGAGGAATTATATACATATATATATATAGTGTGTATATATATATATATATATATATATACAGTCTGTGAAAGGCTTTGACTTTTTCTTTCCACTTGGCAGAGGTGACAGTAGTCATCAGCCAACACGTCCTACAAACACCATCACCCCAAGTCTCAAAGACACAAGTTTTTCAGGGTAATTCTATCTACATATTTCTATCTATTTTTAATGAGTCCAGATGATTCACTCAACTCTGAATTATTCTTGTGTTTCTGGTAATGAGTTTTTGTCAACTGCCAAGTTTTTTCCCTTCTCCAAATCCTCGGCCCGGCCGCGCGTCTCGGCCCAGGCGACGCTTCGTCCTCCGCCCCCCCCCCCCGCCCGCCGCCCCGCCGCCCCGGCCCGCGCCGGGTCCCGACGCCAGACCCGGTCTCCGAGGAAAGCCAGGCCTCAGCGGCCCCCGCTCGCCACCGCCGCTCACCGATGACGATGCGCAGGTGCTTGAGGCGGGTCAGCGCGTCCTTCTTGGAGTCCAGCACCTTCTGGGTGGACTTCTTCACGTCCCCGTGCGGCTTCTTGGAGAACATCCTGCCGCCGCCACGGCCAGCTCCGCTGGTCCTCCCGGCCCGGGTTCTGACGGCCGAGGTGGAGGGAGGAAAGGAGGGAGGGAGGGAGGGAGAGGGCGGGAAGAGCCTAGCCCGAGCAGCTCGTGCCCTCCCCGGCCTCACGGGCCCTGGCTGGGGTCGCCGCCGCCGCCCGCCTCGCGCCGCAGCTCCGAGGAACCTCCCGTTCTGGCTCCAATATGGCGGATCCCCTGTCCCGGCCCTGCACAGAAGCGAGGGAGGCCCGTGCGAGCCCGGCCGCCGCCGCCTGCCTCCAGCCGACGCCGCTCGCCGCCACAGGCCGGGGCCCCCCGGACCTAGAGCCGCGGAGGAGGAGCTCCCGGCCGCTGCGGACACCGCCGCTCCGCTTTCCCTGAGGCCCCCTTAAGGTGAAAGCTTCCTTAGCAGCTTAGACCCTGCAGACGCCTAAGCCCGGGCGAGGAGTCTGGTGATGGGTTTTCACGACTCTGCCGTCAGTGACGGGCGGTCTCCATGGCAACCGTCTTCTGGCGTCACGGTTGTTGACGTCATGCCAACGTGAGATCATCCTTGGAGCTACTTGCTTGGTTTTTCCGGCGTAAGACACCAAAGGAGAGGCCTGAGGAACGTCAAGGAAAGTTATTTGCCTCAGGCCCCTTGGTAAACAGTTGATCCTTAGCCATACACCTAGGAAGGTATGGTTTCCAAGAAAAAGGTCCGTGAAGGCCTGGCACTGGTGGCTCAGGCCTGTAATCCTACCCACTCAGGAGGCTGAGATCTGAGGATCGCAGTTCAAAGCCAGCTCGGGCAGGAAAGTCCTGAGACTCTTATCTCCAATGAACCACCAGAAAACCGGAAGTGATGCTGTGGCTCCATTGGTAGAGCACTGGCCTTGAGCTGAGGGACAGCACCCAGGCCCACAGTTCAAGCCCCACGACCCACAAAGTCCGTGAAGGACCTAAATTAACTCAGACAAACTTAGGAAGGTAAGGCTAACACATACAAGCAGGTGTGTGACACATGCTTGCTGCCATTTCTGAGAGCCTCAGATGTCGCATCAATTCATTGCTAAATTTGGATTTTGTTTAAAGGACTTTAATGTGTTTTTCATAGTGATGATTAGCAGTTTACTGTAGTTTAGTTATTAAAATATGTTCTTTTGCTTAAAATTATCTTCCACGTGGCTAAGAAAGGAAGGAAAAAACGAGAGAGAAAGGGTTGGAAGCATGACTCAGTTAGTAGAACATCAGCCAATGAGCAAAAGGATCAGGTACCTAGTTCAATTCCAGGTCTCAGATGAAGGAAGGAAGGAAAAAAGGGAGGAAGGGAGGGAGGAAGGAAGGATGGGAGGGAGAGGGAGAGAGAGAAAGACAAAGAAAGAAAAGAAAAGAGAGGGAGGGGGAGCAACATGAATCTTGTACAAATAAGTAGGTTCTGCCAGAAACAGATTATAAAAGAAAGAAAAAAGCCATGGGCTGGCAGCTCACATCTATAATCCTAGATTCTCATGAGACTGAAAATTGAAGCTCAAAGTCTGAATCTACCCTGGGCAAGAAAAATCCATGAGATTCTAATCTCCAATTAATCACCAAAAAGCTGGAAGTGGAGCCCTGATTCAGTAGTAGAGAGCTAACCTTGCCCCAAAAAACTAACAACAGCCCAGGGCCAGAGGGGGGAGGGGAGGGAGAGAGAGAGGACTTGGGAAAACTAGAAAATTTCAAAGGCAATTTTTTTCAATTTTTTTATTGTAAAGATGCTGTACAGAGGGGTTACAGTTACATAAGTAAGGTAATGAGTGCATTTCTTGTCGAACATTGTTACCCACTCCATTTTTCTCCAACTATGCCCTCCCTCACTCACTCAGGTTGTAAAGTTCATTTCCAACATGGTGTCCTGTGAGTATGATTGTTACATTGGGTCATCCTTTGTCCTTGTTTCACCATTTTGTTATTCCCTTCCCTTCCCCAAATCAGATAAACATATATGCAAGATGCAAGGTACCAGAGATGCAGAGTGCCAGAATCAAAGACAGTGATTGCCAGGGATACACCAAAGGAAAAAGAAAAATGAAATAAAAGGAAAGAGCTTGATGCAGTATATTGACAACAACAAAGTCACCAACCAAAAACATACCTATTGTTTCCTATTGGAGGTCATTTTGATTAGCATCATTTTATATGGTCATATGTACATATTGAGCTATTGTGATCCTCTGCTAGGACTATCCTAGACATATACTAATTTTTACAAATGAGGGAAACCATGGAGCCTATGTTTCAAAGGTATATTTTGTCAATATGTAAAGAATTCACATAAGTCTTGGAGAAAATTACTAGTGTCAAAATAGAAATTTTAATGAATAAAAAACAATAACAGATATGCATACCACTTTCCCACTAGTAAGTCCTCTCTTCCATTGCCCACCCCTGTTTCCTAGGCAACTCTGGTTTCTGTCATTGAGTTCATCACTGAATTCACATATCCTATAGGTTTTTGTCTTTATTTTTCCCTTAGAATTTTACATAAAACACACAAAAAAAATAAAAAAAACTTTAGTGTCTGTCTTGTTCTATTCAACAAAACTTATTTTAAACTGCCATGTATTTATTAGCCAAAGTAGTAATGTTTGTTTGTTTTTTATTTTTTGGTCAGTTATGGGGATTGAACTCTAGCGCTGTCCCTCAGCTCTTCAGCTCAAGGTGAGCGTTCTACCACTTGAGCCACAGTGCCACTTCCAGTTTTCTGGTGTTAATTGGAGATAAGAATCTCATGGAGGGCTGGGAAGGTGGCTCAGTGGTAGAGCGCTCGCCTTGCATGCTCGAGGCCCTGGGTTCGATTCCTCAGCACCACATAAGCAAAAAGAAAAA